TTATAAAATGTTCTGACAGGCTGTGTGTGTGTGTGTGTGTGTGTGTGTATGTGTGTGTGTGTGTGAGAGCATAAAAAGGCTGTAATAAAAGCTGTCACATCAGCACATAGAGAAAAGTACATTTAGATAATTACTCTTTGCTCTGATCATTTCTCTCAGTTTGWTTTAATATTAAAGTCACTTTTCTTTAACATTCAGTTAGAAGTTTAATAAAGACACTTCATTTATTCAGGCTGGACCAGACCGAACTCAGTCTGAGAGGCTGGGAGAGGATTCTCATCAACTACATGCAAATACTTTATTTTGTTTTGAAGCTCATCATTTTGATTTGATAATCACAACTTTRGTTTTAGAAACAGAAATAAACTCAGTACAGTAAGACGTTTAAAGTGTTTGTGACGGTACAACAAAGTTTGAGACACTCAACACTGACAAATGTTCAGACATGATACAGGAACTGATCAGTGACTTACAGGTTGAAACAACGGTGGGTTTCCAACCATAACTTTCTCACCTAACTAAGGTTAACACAGAGAGACAGTTTAATGTTACCAATCAGCCTGACCTTTGGTCAGAGAAAACCCACACCTGCACAGAGAGAACAGCTAACCTCTACCCAGAGTTGTCCTGATGCATCTCAGTAATCCAGGTAGAAAAATCAAAAAGGAAAAATGGATGGTTCTTCTCTAATGAAACGTTTCATCTCTCCTCCAACAGACTTCTTCAGTCTGAGAGTTTCAGGTGAACTCAGCCTTATAAGCTCCGCCTCCACATGGTGGACAAACAGCTTAGTCACATGCAAAAGAGGGTCATCAGTCAACCAGTAGGTCGTTAGTGCCTTGATTAGCTCTATTGTTCACAGAGGGTCATGTGACCCATCACCTGACCCGTGTCGTTATGTGTATGTAGTGAATGCAGGCGGGGCTCAACGTCCCCTTGTTTTTGTTTTCTCCCTCTTTGTGTTGGTATCATTGGGCCCTGAATCACACCTGTTGCTCACAGGGGGCGGAGTCATACCTGCAATAACAGCGTTGTAGGAGGAGGACAACTGGACACGAAGGCCTCCACCTCTGTTTAATGGTGGACAGTTTTTCTTCACAAAGATGGAAGAACTTTACTCCTCTCTACCCAGAATTCAACCAGCAGCCTTGTCACTGCGAGGCAGCAGCTCCACCCACTGATCCACCGTGCCTCAGTAACTGAASAACAGAGTTTAGTTCCAGAAGAAGCTGATGAAAGTGTGTGGAGCTGAGGACAAAGAGCAGGAAGTGAAGGTGACTCATGCTGTGGTTCTGTGTGTTTCAGGTGTAGGAGGCAGAGCAGCAGTAAAGAGCAACACCTGCTCTGAGTGTCCACACTGACGGTGTTGCTCCCAGCTGCACCTGCAGCACTTTCTCCTCTATTTACAGCTTCTGTGGGAGTCAAACACACGTCTGCAAGAAAACTGTCACCACGGAATCCAAACCTGCAGAAACATCAGCTTTAATCACAGACTGGTCCTGACTGGGACCAGTCTGTGATTAAACAATGACCTGTGCTGACAGAAGAACAACCAGCAGCTGTTAATGTAAGAAGTAATCATCTTACCTTCATCAGAACAGACTCGCTGAGCTTCTCTCTGTTCACRATCTTTATGGCAACTTTCTGACCCGTGACACAGTGGATCCCCAGCTTCACGAGACCTGCAACACAAACACCAGGCCTTACTGTAAGCCCTGCCCCAGTTCAGACTGTACCGGACTGAGACATCCTGCAGGTGACACGTGTTCAGACAATAACATGTTAGAGGAAAACATGTCAATAAAGACATGGATCATGGATCTGATCCAAGATTAAACAGGAAAATGTTTCAAATCTACGAGCTGCAGAAAAACTGTGTCAGGCCTGAACATGACTCTACACTGCCAGTAAAACAGGAAGTCAGGAACTAAATGTTGGACAGGAACCATGGGCTCTGAAGGTTATAGACTGGAAAACACACACACACACACACAGAAACACACACACACACACAGAAACACACATTTATACATACAAAATGAAACAAAAGTATATTGTCTGTAACATCTGTGAGGAGTTTTGTAGTGAACAGGTTCTATCTAAATAAACTGAACTGAATGTTGTGTAGAACATCATCTGTTGATGAAAACAGATAAAACACAATCTTGTCTCCAGACAGATCCAGTTTACCCAGCACACCTGAAACCAGCACCTCTCACTGATTCCATCATTAAGCTGGTTTAGATGCTGCTGCTGATCCTCTGAGAGCTCACCTGATGTGACTCCTGTAGCACAACAGAAATGTCAACACACAACACCTTTATGTTAACACCACCGCCTCACCCATCTTTATGTAAAGTGACAGCAGCGAGGGTCTCCCTTCAGTCTGACAGCAGCGAGGGTCTCCCTTCAGTCTGACAGCAGCGAGGGTCTCCCTTCAGTCTGACAGCAGTGAGGGTCTCACTTTGTACTGAAGGTCTGCAGACGGCAGCACAAATGCCACGCTGCATTTGCACCTCTTCATTACCTCACGCTCCGTGTGTGCTTCACAGGAGGTGCTTTGAAAGGTGGTCTCCCTACAGGGGGAACGAGCAGAGCTGAAARCAGCAGGGGGCACCCCGGGGGTCTTTTAAGTCCCTGTTAGAACTGAGATGGGATCCTGGGTGAGGGTGCTCAGGTCTCATTCTTCTTGTCTGCAGAGAAACTCTGTGATGGTTTCATCTGCCAAACATCAGCCAGGGCCTTTAAAGATGTGTGTACACACACACACACACACACACACACACACACACACACACACACACACACACAC